ACGATGATAACAAATTAATTAGAAGACCTTCTTAAAAGCATGACACCACATATTGACAACCACTGTACTTTCTGAGTCTTTTTATATAGTAATTTTATGTTCAGCATTAAAGTCAGACACACAAACCCAAATCCATTAAAAAGTATTAAGAAGAGCCAAATAGAAAAAGAGCAATATGAACAAGCCAGGGACAACAGAACATTTTTTTCCAGACTATCAATGTATTGAATGTAATACAGAGGAAGGCAAAAGGGCTTTAAATATAGACTTTTGGCCATTGAGGATGCAAGCATCAGCCAAACAAGATCTCAGAAGCATTTCCCGGCCCATGAACACCACATGGAAAGACTAAAGCGAACGTGGCATATGGTCTCAAATAAAGCAGGATCCAATTTTAATTTCTTACCTCTAACAAAATTTATGTTTTACATAGTGAAGAGACCAGGCTACAGTTCTTACATTTAAAAACTGTAGTCTTTAAGTGAGTTAAACTTGTTTTGATCATGTCTGAAAGTCGGAAAGGAACATCAGTAGCTAGCGCCTTTGTTACACAGAAAGATGGCGGTGGGAAGTGTCACTGGAGGAGATGGCCCAGAGCCATCCTGAGCTTGGACACAGCAAGGTATATGTGCTGCAGATCCATCACCAGTACCTTCAGGGTTAGAACCAGTTCTTGTCCACTGAGAGCCCCTAGCTATTAAAAGAAACTCATTGTTACAATTCAGATCATCGTTGCCCATCAGAAGAAGCATTCTTTCTGACTTTCATTGACTGTGTTTTGAATATGAAGCTCACTTTTCAAAACAGCCTCGGCACTGTCTACGTTCTCTGACCTTTTTGCTTCATTTCTTTTGTATAACCTTTTCTGCTGATAAATGCGAACAGCTATGGCAGTGATGCAAAGCAAAATAAAGATCACCACAGCTATCAGACCTAGAGAGAGAAGAGAGAAGAAATACTCAGTCAGAAATCTTTTTTGGAATAGAATCTGTGCCAACTTTGTTGCTTAATAATTCCCAGAAAAATCACTTTCCATTAGAATCAAACCTCTACAAGATATAAAGTAGAAACAAGAAACATTAGGTATTTCTGATTCAAGCAGTATCATAATAAGCTTATTTTGGAATTCTATCAACCTCTGGGCTCCCCTCCACTGGCTCTAAGTGTTCATTATATTGGGCCTACTTAACCCATTCATATTTACTCTGAAATATTATCTAAGTATTTCTGAGACCATTTGGCTGCTTCATAATAAAAGATACAGAAGTTTTAATTATTTTTTGAAATTATAATTAAAATGCAACAAAGGGATTAAGTGTTTTATGATTAAATATGTAACTATTCAGGTTGGAGAGATGGCTCAGTGGTTAAGAAAGTGTACTGATCTTACATCCATGTTACGTGGCTCATAACCACCTGTAACTCCAGCTCCAGGGGAGTCTCACACACACACACACACACACACACACAGGCACGCACGCACGCACGCACACAGGATATACTCACATACACACACATATACAAATAAAAACAATGCAGCTCAATGAAGTTTATTTTCAATCATCTGTTAAATATGAGAAGAGCTTATGAACAGTGATAGCAATGAAGAAGCTGTTGAGACATAAATGTATTTAAATCATTTCTGCATGAGCAGTATGAATTTTTGAAGGTTTGTAAGTAAAACTTTTAATTGATGCACTAGTGTTAACTTATTAGTTAAGCCCATTGATATCAACCTAGCATTACATGAGATCATTGAAGTGAAATGTGATTCCTTGGACAGTCCCCAGGACACACTGGGGTGGGGAGCCACACGGTAAAACTTCCATCGCAATCATAAAATGCCTTTTCGCTGTGTTGGAATTTCCACTGAGAGTATAAAGTACATGTGGGGATGATTCCTGTGCTTAGAACAGTTAGGCAGGTTACCTAACTGCAACACTCCCTGGAATTATGGAGTAGACGAGATCTCGATCAGGCAAAAGTCAAACTTATTTAAGAATGTCTTTGATGAAGTAATAAAAATTATTTATTTTATTAAACATTGACCCTGACTACAGTTCTATTTCATGTGTTGCGTGCTGAAATGGGAGAGAGACATACAGCATGCCTAGCACAAATGGAAGTGTGATGTCTGTCTTCAGGAAAAGCACTCTGAGCACATTTGAGTCATGAACCCAACGAATGCATGATTCTGCATGTCACATCACTTTTATTTGAAAGAGCAAATACCAGGTAAAGTATGCTGGCTCTCATGTAAATACCTGGTGGTTATACTCTCTAAACTGAATGAAGCAAGTCTATTCAAGAAAAACAGCTGCAGAATCTTCTGCTAATGATGAAATTCAAGGTGTCAAATAAAAAACAGATTTTTGGAAAACTATTGCCTGTCACCAAGATGTTCAGAGTTTCCTCAGACCTAAAACCTTTCATGATATCATTAGTGTCATTAATGTAGTTTCTTCCAAAAGAAATAGTCCCTATAGAAATAGCAATCTGGATCAAAATCAACGTTGAAAACTGGGACTCCACTCCTTTTTCCCTTTTTTCTTTGGAAACAGGGTCTCATGCAGCTTTTAAACTTGCTGTATAACTAAGCATGATCCTGAACTTCTGATCCTCCTGCCTCCACCTCCCATATACTTGGATTACTAGTGTGCACAACCATGCCCAGTTTATGTTCCATGGATTGACTCCAGGGCTTCATGTTTGCTGGGCAAGCATTCTACCAGCTGAATGACATCCCAAGGTCTAAGACTCCATTCTAATATAAGTGGATGTGGATGACTATAATGAAATTGAACCAAGTCAGAGACTGGAAGGTTCTCAGAAATCATAGTAGATTCCTCAGAATGTCATCTGCTTAGCAGAGTCTCCATGGTCACCAATCATATTATTGATGATAAGTCCATTTTTACTTGGTCAGGCTTCTCTGAGAAAGATAGTAATTAATCTGATACACATGCTAATTTTACTAATAAGTGTGGCTACTTAATCATATTAATAACCAATTTTATTTTTTAAAGTATTTTATTCAGTATTATTTTATGTGTATGACTATATTGCCTGCCTGTATGTAAGTAAACCTATGTCACACAATGCTCACAAATGTCAGAAGAGGGTGTCAGATCCCCTGGAACTGGAGTTATGGATGGTTGTTAACTGCCTTGTGGATGCTGGGAACTGAACCCAGGTTCTCTGCAAGAGCAGCCAGTGCTCTTAACTGCTGAGCCATCTCTCTAGCCCCTAATAACCAATTTTAATCAGAGTACTCATGTTCTGTTACATGGTTTGCCTCTCATCCTAGAAAAACAATTGAGTTACTATAATTATTTCAGCTATCTCATTATAAAGCTTCTGGCTCTGATTTATTATGTTAAAGACAGTATGACACTGCAGTTACATAATGTATATCACTTTCATCTTGGCCCACAAAGGACATCTAGGACAGTCAACATCAGGGGTGATCATCCCTCTAATGCTTTTGACTCTGAGTGTGTAATTTATAGCTTTCAATTTGGGGTAAGTTTCATGCCACCTCATTTTATAGCCAAGAAAAATCTTGACCTCGCCTATTATCCCGCCTCCAAAACATAAACAAAATAATATAGTCACAATAAATAAACTACTGTGAGCTATGTTGTTCTCTCCAAAGCACTGCACAAATTCATGTTTTTAGGAGAAGTTTATGTCAGTTCCTTTCTGTCCGAATTAATCTCTCTGTATCTGCATAATATGACCAGAAAGTCTACATCTGGATCACCATTTTAAACCGTCTTATGGAATCCGTCCTCTTCACTCATAGCACTCTCTTTTAAACAAAGAAAAACATCATCTGAAGTTGAAAAAACAGGATTATCTAGTTTGGAAAATGTTTGAATGGATCGACCGTGGCTACATACTGGATTTGCGAGGAACTTAACCCTGGGTTAGAATTCTGCTGTGATGCTGACAGACTGAGTAACACACTAGAGTGCCCAGCCTTGAGAACGAGCAGACAAACCATACATGGTCTGTGGAGTATGTACAGCCACTCCCAGCTAGTCTCTCTCTGCAGCTCAGTCCCTGCAGAGGTCAAAACCAGCCAACACACTGGCCTCATGGATCCTGGAAGATCCTGAAAGACAAGTCCGCCATGTGCTCTTTCTTGGCTATATACATTTGAGCTAAGTGAGAATTTTTCAGGTAAACTATAGCTTATTTCTGTTCTAGAATGACTTATCAGCATGTTTTTTTAGCTCTATAAATCTCAGAAATGACCTTTGCCCAAAGTAACAAGAATCTAAAGTTTAAATATTCTGTCCTAACACTGAGTTGCCCATAGACTGCTCTATATTTGACTCTCTCTGGATATTTGCCTGTGCTATGGAAATGCATGGGAAAAGCACTGACTGATGGAATTTGCCTAACCAGGGATCATAGTTTAAAATGTTGAGCATATTATAAATCCTGTAACTTTAAGGTTTTACTGCAAAATGTGTTCTGTTAGACAAGCTGTTTTAATTATTAACTAAACTAAGGATTAAATTATTTTTAAAAGGGAGATTTGTTTTTCTTGTCAGGGAATTAAATGGAAATTCTATTTTATGTATCTTTAATTTATACATCTTTAAGTGGAGGGGGGAGAACAGAAGGAGCAACAAAAGAAACTTTGACCAACACTATTCAACAGCTAAATAAAATTCCAGCTGCTGGAAGAGCTTGTGTCTAAATGAGAAAGAGCATAAAACACAGGACTATTCACACACACGCACACACACACACACACACACACAATTAAAATAAAGTATAAATAAAACAAAATGCTTAAAAAGTGATGTGGGTTGCAGAGATAGCTCAGGGGTTAAGAGGACTCAAGTTCAGTTCCTGGCACCCATTATTATGCAGCTCACAACGACCTGTAACTCCTGCTCCGGGGGAGATGATGTCCTCTTCTGGCCTTGGCAGGTACTGCAGTCATGTGCACATAACCCCCCCCATCCACAGACACACACACACACACATACACACACACACACACACGTATTTAAAACTAAAATAAAATCTTTAAAACACAGAGAAACTAAATAGATCAAGCACGAAGTCCACATAAACATGCCCAAGTATATAAATAATCACATTATCTAGAAATAGGACTGAATAACTATTTATTTTTCCATGCCCATATCATATTCTGAGTGCAGAGAAATGTTAAGCCACTTAACATTTCAACGGTGTAATTAGAACCCCCCAAAAAAGCATCATAAGAGCATTAATTAGAAAGAAAAAAAAGGTTTATTTCTGGAGTTGTTTTACAATAACAGCTCAGAGAAGCTGCTGTCACATCAAAGATTCTTTAAAGTTTTTGTTTTGATTCCATAATTTAAATTTACTAAGAAAAACTTTCAATTAACCTAATGTTTGATAAAATGCAACTGAACATAGAGTATTTATTGTTAAGAATTGTCTAAACCATGAAATGTCTAATATGCATTTAAAAAACACAAAGTATAGACTTCTAATGTTAATCTCCTTTTTCCTACTTTTTGCATGAGCCCTTGTATAAGCATTGATTGAGACATCTAAGAATACAATGAAAAAATTACATGCAGCATTTTCTTTGGCTCACAAATAGCTATCTTCAAACTAAATATTACTCATTATTATACAGCTTAGCAACTGATCCTTGAGTAGGAAGCTTTAGTGAAATTACCCATTCTTTAGACTGAAAATATCCCAGGAAGCCAATAATTTAGGAAGATTCTGTAAAGCATCCCTTTACCCTCAAGATTCAGAACCTGGCAAGATGAGCCTATACCATCATAGGTACAAGAAGAGCTCAGAGGCCCTACCATTCTCTGGGAGCTATGGGCAGTTAATGGCAGGCAGAGGAGGTGAGAGGGGGGCATTTCCTTCAGTGGTGTAGCCACTGGTAAGCTGCCATGCTCCTACTGTAAATAACCTGCCTATGCTCACGCAAGCAGTCCTAATTATACTCAATGGAGGACTTGTCAGAAAGAAGAGGGGTGTTTGATGGGAATGAGAGGCAGAGAGAGTGTAATGGGGGTGAATGTGGTCTAAATACATTACACACATGTATGACATTTACTAAGAATTTAAAAATAATTTTAAAGATTCAGTGTATTATATTTCAGATAGGTATAGAGTCTTTTTTTTCTGTTAAAGGGGATTGAAGCTTTAACCTTACACTGGATGGTCAAGCACTCTACTACTGAGCTACACTCCCCCACTCCCAGTAATAATGGGTCGATTCTTCATAGATAGTTTTTTGGAAGACTAAAATAATCCCCAGTACTAGCAGTGGCAATAAGCACCCCACACACACACACAAAGCTCACTCATACTTCCAAGTTACCTCCAATTACTGCAGAGTCACTTTTGATTGCATGAGAGAGAGGTTCTTTATCATCCATGGTTCCAGAATGATCTGCAGTTAAAGTACAAACCAGGACAAGGGTGATTCAGCTAAGTAAAAAGAAGAAATTGTGAAGGCTTCATCAATGTTTTAAACCAGAACAGAGTGCGGTAGGTGAGGTAGGTGGGACCTCAGCAATTTTCAGTTTTAACAATGTCAATAGCAATGAATAAGAAATTGAGGCTCCAGAAGATAAATGAAGAAGAACAGAATTGAAAATTAAACAGATGAAACCAATTTTCAGAAACCATTTTGAAAATGTAGCTTAACAACAAAATTAGAAAATGTCCAAATCATCTGGACAAGCTAGGTTTGTAAGTACAGGCGGAGTCTGAAGTTACCTGTAAAGGAATGTGTCCTTTCCCTGGATGTCGCATCAGTGCCAGCAGGGGTCACACAGCTGGACTCTGTCACATGCCCTGTCACCATGACAGGAGCTGGGTGTCTAGGGTGCAGAGCAGCCTTCAGGGGGGCCACATGGCTGAACTGCACTGCAGAGAGGCAGCCTATGAAGCCGTGGGCTGCAGCCATCGCAGTCTCCTGGTCTACCTCACTGTGCTCTGTGGATCCAGAGAAACAGGGCGATGTCAGAAGGACAAGGACAAATGGCAGAGACATATGCATCAAATACCTGGTATCTGTGAATGCAAAAGTGAGGAGATGCAGTTGCCTTCTGGTTCTCCTTCCTTGAAAGAATTCCATCTGTTAAGTCTACCCGTAACTAGCGTTGCCTTCTTGGTTAATGAAAAGAATGCAGTACACTCAGCAGGTGATTAAAAATTCCTTAGGAATGGGTTGGACTAGTAACTAATGAGGGGACCATGAACTAATGAGGGGGTCACACTATGCAACCCAAGCTGGTCTCAAATGAGCTAGATTGCCTAGGACGACCTTGAACTGATTTTTCTGTCTCTACCTCCAAAGTGCAGAGATTACAGGAATACATCATCATGGGTGGTTTATGCAGTGCTAGGGTTCAAACCTAGGACTTCATGTGTGCTAGACAGGCACTCTACCCACTGACCTACATCCCAGTTCTTCAAGTTTTAGATATATTAAAGTGTGTCTATTGATTGCAGTCAGTATCAGGAGATATGCCCTAGGTTTAGAAGAGTTCTTTTCAGCTTTTGAGACTTAAGCCAAGAAAGTAATGGAAGTTAAGGGGGAAACTGGCCTCTAGAACGTCCCTATCCATTGCCCAACCTAACACTGTTAAACCTTTCTGATACCTCAGGATTCCATTCAAACACATCAGGAGACTGCTATTAGCATGTCATAGAGGCCACACTACAAAAGTATTGGGGTGTCTCTCTAATGACTCGTGTGCAGCACTGGAAACATTCCTATCTCCTTGCTTTCTCTACACTTCAGTGATGGTCTGTTACATGGAAATAAGTTTTTGCACTCTAAGGGAAGACTATCACATCTCTTACATTAAGGCGAGTTTCATTCATGACTTATGGGACATGGATTAGTTTAAATGTCAAAATATCAATTCATAATTTAACAGTTAAGAATATAACACACAGAGCAGATGTTCTGTAGAATAGAAATGAAACAGGCAATTTATTACAGAGTTGCTTTTGTTTTGTTTTGATTTGATGTGGTATGATTTGGTTTGTTTTGTTGAGACAGAGTCTCATGTAAAACAGGCTGGCTTTGAAAACACTATGCAGCTAGGATGACCTTGAACTCCTGATCCTCCTGCCTCTACTTCCTAAATACTAGACTTACAGGCATTTACCATCACACCCAGTTTTTCCTGTAGAATTTTAAGTTCAAACGTCCTCAGACCATCATCCACCCATCTACCTAATTGGATTATAAAATGACACCATCACCCTCCCTTACCCTGCATATATGAGGGCACAGACATTTATATTTTTCTTTTAGACAATATAATAAACACTGGGAATTTATTAAATTCATATATGTGTTAGGTACTATTCTAAGTGATTTATCATGTTATTATTTACACTTTACAGTATCCACAGGAATATCACATGGCCTGTCACATAGATGTGACACTTGGGTTTAGAATTTTAATAAGTTGCCTAGGATTATATTTCATTGGCATTATATCCAGGACTCCAGGCCTATTGGACACAAAATGACCAGATTCTTTTACTCAGGAATCGCTTTGTGGTTGAATAGTCTTCCTTTATTGTCTACATCTTCAGTGGTGTCAGTTTTTGTTTCGAAGGATACCTTGGCTTGAAAGCTATTTTTCTTAGTAACCCAGGGCATCTCAAGTCTAAGTCAGCCATTTCTCCTTATATCTAGATTTCTGAAGAACGTTTTCTTTTGGCTCAATTTTCAGCTACATTTTATATCTAACAATAAAAATAACATTGATTAAATGTTTCCTATTATAAGAATCATTCTGTATTTTTTAAAGTCCTGAAGATTAGAGAGCCTACATTGCTTTTCTGTTGTGGCCTTTAATCATTTCCAGAAGAGTTCATCATCTTATTCTTAATTAGCCATACTTAAAAACCTGTGTTCATTAACCTGGGAGACCTCAAACGTAGTTGTAGAAAGTCTTAGCATATCTAACTCTTTTAATAAAGACAAAAGATAAGAGAATTCAGTTGCTATATATTCATTGCTTTCAGGCTAATAGACTGGGGTCAGACATTCGGGCCCCAGTATTCTGCCTCCGGAGGCTGTCTCCTGAACCCTCAAGCTCTCCTTCTAATGAGACGAGGATAACACTGAGAATCCATTCTGTGACTCACACAGAAGATCATGAGCTCTGAAAATGGATAGTTGCCCTCTGCAATGGTTGGAATTAATCCATAACTTGACCCAACCTAGGATCACCCGTAAAGGGAGCCTGATTGAGAGGATGTTTACATTGGGTTGTCCTGTGGACATGTCTGTGGGGAATCACCTTAACTAAGTTAATGGATGTGGGAAGATCCACCTCCACTGTGGTGACATCGTTTCCTTGTCAGTGCTCCTGAACCATATAAGGGTGGGAAACTTGAGGTGATCACCAGCAGGCAAGTGAGCATGCCTTTGTTTATTCTTTGTTTCCAATGCATATTTTTATTGAATTTTTGTGCATTCCATACAATAAATTTCAGTCATAATTTATACCCCTCCCCTATCTACACCCCCACAGGATTTTATGCATTCCGTCATGTATGTTGCTGAGGACTTGAGCCAAACCCGTGTACCCAGATGTCCCTTGGGTGAGTTCATCCACTAGCGCCTGGTCAGCCCATCCAGCATCACTCCCTTAGAGGAGATTAACTCTCCCTCACTCAGCAGAGACCAACTGCCAATAGTTCCTCAGCTGAGGTTGGTACCTCCTGCCCATTTCCCCAACTCTGTACTGGTGTTTGTCTGATTGAGTTTTCATGGGTCTTGTGCATGCTCTCACTCTCTCTTAACTGTGGATGTGATGTGACTAGCTGCTACAAGTTCCTGCCTTGACTTCTCCACGTTGATGGACTGTCACCTGTAACTCCTTATGCTCAAATTGCTTTCAGTCAGGGTATTTTATCACAGCAACAGAAATAAAATTAGGATGACACCTGACACTGTGTTGTCTCATAGGATATATTTTATCACTGTGCATAAAACAAAAGTCCTTCAGTCCACTTGCATGCCAATCACATTGTTTGATGGATGTGCAACAGGCCCTCCATATCTGTGGGTTCCACATCCACACACAGTAGCAACCTCAGACCCAAAGCATCCATTTTAAAAAGTATATTGAACATGGAAACATATTTTCCTTCATATTTAAAAAACATAGTGTTTTTTACTGAATAATGGAATTTTGCATAGAATTTTCACTGTGTTTGGTATTTTAAGTAAGTAAGGCATAACTGAAAACATATACATTATAAATAGATGATAGATTGATTGATTAAATGACCAGTAGATAGGTGATGATAGATAAATTGATAGTTTGATAAATAACAAATAGGTTAGAAAGAGATGATAGATAGATAGAT